AATTGCCACCACTGAAGCAAAACACACAAAGAAAAGGCCTATTGACAGAGCATCAAATATGCTCCATAGATTGTGTAAACCAGGGGTGCCCAAAAGGTAGATCCCCAGATGTTCTAAAACTACAAATCCCATGATACTTTGCATGTCTTTAGAATTACAAAGCATCATGAAAGCTGTAGTTTTAGAACATATAGATTTAGGGCTCTCCTGCTTTACACAATCTATGGGGCTTCTCCGCTGTATCTCATTCATGCCTAGGACCCAATGTAGAGCCACGTCAGTAATAATCCTTTGCTCACCGTGAGTGGAAACTCCAGTCTTTTAAAACTTTTTAAATACCTTTACAGAACCATAGAACATGTTTTTAAAGAATAGGTTTGATCTTTGTAAATAATTTATATTTCTTTAAGGACTTGATCCTCAATTCTATGCGTTCTTCTCCAACAAATCTTCATCCAAAAATTATAATCCAAAACAAAGCTTATTTTTTTTGTTCTTATTGCACAAATGCCTCATCACACGATAAATACAAATACAGTCAAACCTCCCTTAAGTCTGTCCTCAACTAAAAGTCTTCTAATTTTCCTTAGAGCCGCTGTCAGGAGGAGGTTGCCCCCATAAGCCTCATTATTCATGAGTTCTGTTGCTTTTTTTCCATCTGTTACCAAATAAGGAAAAAGAGGAACTTTTTTGCTGTGGCTGATGCTTAAAACAAGATTCAGCGAACATTTTGGAATAACGGGAAAAGCTTGAGGCTCAGCTGACCAAGTGGAACAAAGAATTTAAATTCACAAAAATATATTTAACAGATAAATTTAGGAGTGGGCCATTGGGTGCATCGCTGTTTCCCAGAATCCATTTAAGTTTCAAAGCATAATGTATAAACTGAGCCACATTACATTTGTGTTACAGGCTTGCCTACATTTATATACAAGCCGTAAAGATTGTATAAACGAGGTACATCAAGGTGACATCATTGGGATCAGGAGGGCTGTAATAAGTGGTGCTAATATTCTATGTTTCACATTCTTTCCACCTCCGGTAATGTCAGAACTCCTGCTGTCAATGGGGATCTAACACAGTCATAAGCAACACACGCAGAGTTATTTACTAAGTGAATTTTATATTCAAGGCCAGAGTAGCCGAACCGAAAGAGTAGCTGACTTCAGAGAACTTTTCTGGATCAGCTATTTTGACCTTGCATTTGAAATTCTCTTTAAATTCACTTTCAATTATCTCTTTATTGAATAACCCTGATGGACGTTTAGCTGTCATGGTATTGCTGTTGGCTGAGTGTCATGGGAGTTGCATATTTTAATAATGTTCATTCTATCTCACAGCAGGAGTGCATACACTTGCAGGTTTCAGCAAACAAACGTCTTTTTATAAAATTAGGGCAGAACTGGGAAAGAGCCATTGTCTCGGAGATAATTTGTTCAAGAGATGTGACCTCGGCACAGAACCAACGACCCTTACATGTAATGAGCCAGCAAACCCAGCCTGTGTCTAATTACAGTGTGCTTCGGGAAGAGATCTTTAATCACACAAACTGTACAGATATATACTGCACAAAAATAAATAAAAATGATTACCATCTAAGAGCTTACAGGAGACAGGTAGAAGTGTGAAAATAGCCATGGTACTTTATACATCAGGTGTAGTAACTTGACATGTCGGGTTCCAGGAACTGTTCTCCTTACAATGCTTTGCAGCCACAGCAAGATTAAACATAAGGTGACATTGGGCAGACTCCAAGGGTCCAGGGTCTAGACAGGGGCTCCGGAACCATGAATAAAGAGAGGCCCAAATTGGTACCCTCCCTAAGGTTCTGTGGGACATAAATTCTTCTCTGTTTCTACCCTCAATTGACAGTACAAGTAAAAGGTCGATTACTCTTGTTTTGCATCTTATCTTAACAGATATAGTACCAGTTTGTGATGCTCACATCTACTACTGATTAATATAGAGGGGCAGACTTTTTTCAGTATTTTTTAATGTAAATCCATTTCAATCAAGTATACAAGGATGTTGCTCACAGCTACCCGGAACACCTGGGGTTTGAGCCCAAAGCCTTACTAGATGAGCCATACTCTACAGATATTCAATGCAATCCTGTCTAGCCACACTACTGAAACAACAGAGAAGGGGTACAGGGTAGGCCTTAAACCCAGCACCCCACCCTATCACCACCCACTTCCACTTAATATCCTGTAGGAGCATTTTAATAGTGATCTTTTCTTACATCACGCCGCTGCTTTGGAAATCAGATACCTAATGGAAAAAAAACAATTACTACTCCACTACCTGTAAAGATCCGAGATTAAATGACGTACCCCTGATGATCCGTGAAATACACCAAATATGCCATGTGAGAGAAATTAACATCCACAACTTTAAAAATCAAACTGGAATGAGATCCTTTGTCCAATATCCATCCCGGAGCACATGAATTACAACGGTCAATGAAATGCTGTCATCTCCTAACTTTGAGACTTTTAAACCATTGGTAAATTTTGACCACTTAAATGCTCCATTTCCCCCCCCTGCACCCCCATTTTTAATTTTTCTCATAGACAACAGAGACATTCGGATTACTACAGTATGGCATACACATTAGTTTACAGAGAAGTGGTTATCAAACATTGAAGAGAGCGTGGTAGTAGTAATATATGCCTCGTTTGATAAACTGGTTTATACAGAGCCTAAAATGCCAGGTGTTAGTTGGGTATAATACCCTGTCTCAGGTCCTGAGGATTTGTAAAGAGAACCCAAAAGAGGGTTTTGGGAAAGAAGAGAGAGGAGTTAGAGAAAGAGGCAGAAGGAGAAAGGTAACGAGAAATAAGGAGATCTCTGGTCGGCAATGACGGAAGGAGCATAGTCTAGTTTTAGGGGAGGGGAGGGAGTAGCAAAAGTAGGCTTCGTTGCAGTGTCAGGGGCTGTAGTTATTAGTTATCCTTGTAGTCTTTCCATGTCTCCCAAACTCTAGAGAAAGTCTTCATGGACCCTCGAACTTCAAGACCCTCAAACTTGAACTGCTCCGTTTTTATATACAAAAAAGGTTTATTCTCACTGGAAAAAATTAAAGAGATATATTTATTCAGTTCGTAAATATTTTAAGGACAAAAACTATGGGTTCTCAACACTAACATTAGCTGCAAAATATCATCAGTTGCCTGGATAATTCTCAAAAAAGTGTCATATTCATATTCATTGCAATTTTCTGTTCCCAGGAAGTTGCTTCTAGGTGTATCGGCCAGTGTTGTCAAAAACACAGTTTGATTTTATTTTTTTTAAATATTATTATTCATTTCAAGGATATACATTCATTGACAATTATGTCAAAAGGTCTAAAAAATTCTAGCGTAGGAAAACTACCAACACTGTATACATTACAATACTTCTAATAGACCACAAAAGAAACAAGGATATAACCTTTGTTATATTGGATTAAATGCCTTGAAATAAATATACTACAAAACGCAAATAATCGGTTTGAAAATTTGATAAGAACACTAAAGTGCTTTAGCTGTAAGATGCCTGAAATATGAGGCCATAGTATTTCAAGCAGGGATTTTAAAATCTGGCTCTCTAGAAGTTGAAAGCCTACAATTCCCAGAATTCTTTGAATGCAATAGTTGGCAAAATAATCATTGTAGTTGCAGTAGGGCGACATCTGTGGGGAGGGACAGAGTTTTAGATGCTTGATTTAAACTCCATACACCACAACCACTACAATACTGGTGCCTTAATGGGCAGACCCTTGCTCGCTCCATTTGTTCATGCACAAGCTAAACAGGCAGACCCTTGCCCTTCGGCCTGAAGAGATGTCGGTGTCCACAATGATGTCCATGAGTCTCCCCAGTGTGTGTGCCAAGACTCACCAGCTGCCGCCATCGCCATCAAAGTCCTCCCATGCACTGCAGCACCAGCCACTAAATATGTCACAGAGGCATCACCACTGTAGGAAACACCTGACACTGCCCAACTGGACCTGAAACCGCTTTGTCAACCACCAAAGAGGGGGCCTGAGTCCAAGACTAATAGAAGCCACCATGGTACTTGTGTGCTCCTTGTCCGTAACCAGAAGTAGAGAAGAAGTGGGTTATTACTGGAAATAAAGGAATAAACAGCGAGAAAGGTATAAGGGGAGAGCAGCAAGCACAGAAAAAGACAACAGTAGCATGAGGAAAAGAGACAGATTAAGATAAAGAGAAAATACATTGTAACCAGACAAAACCACCATGTTTTCCCATCCTCCTTGTAGGCTCAGGATCTTTATTCATGTAAAAAAATTACAGATCATAGGAGACCCTCCTTTACCTCTCTGCTACAATAAAAACATGTTATTGACCATTCTAAAGAGGATTATTATGTTCATACATCCCAGGAGTTCTAAGATATACCTTGCAAGGTCTCTGGAGCTTCTGTGGGATAAATGCCTTGCATAACCCAAGTACAATGGCTTGATGAATTAGGTGAAGTTTAGATCTCTATGGTCTTACTGCAATATTTTTGGATAAGCTAGTCATATCATCAATGATAATCACTTATTTGGAAGACACTTTAACACCAGAAGCCACTACATTTGGAATGTCGCCTCCCTCCCTTAAGCCACATGCCAGATTTATTGAAATTTTACTGGCGGTAGCCACACAATCTATATTACATGCCTAGATTTCAAGAGAGAACCATACTCAGTCTTTTACTATCTTCTAAACTGTCCCATGTCTTTCAAATAGATTGGATGGTATTTCTAACCCCCATACAAGGCAAAACACAGGACCATCTTTTGACACTGTCTGATAATCAGCAAATGGTGTACACTTTATTATCTGGAGAATAACCTTTTATAAACCGATCCATTAACAGATCTACGCTCTGCAATTCAGCCAAAATTCTACTGTGACAACATTAGACTATTTCCCTGGAAAACGAATGTACATGTATTTATTAAGCAATGCTCTACCATGTGATAACATTTAAAAAAAAAAAACATTTTAGTCGATTGAAGTTGGTGTGAGGCCGATGTTACGGAAAATTGTGGTCACCCCAAAAATATCCTGTTTCCTGCATCAGATACAAAACAGGTTACAAAAACCACATACAAACACAGAATTGTAATCACAAATTGGGATTATCATATTATTAAAGACTTTGCATCATAAAGCCAATCAAAATCTAGTAATGGAGAGTAAATAGTTCTATTTTAGTGGGAACCAGATTTGGCCTGACATTTGGTTTAGAGTAGTCAATATGACCTAATGGCAACTGATGGAACAAAGCTCTAGTCTGGTCAGTATGTTTTGCGAATGAGAGACATTTCTAACATTATGACTTTGTTTACTGGGAAAAGCTATAGGGAAAATCGTTTATCATCAGCAAACACCAGAGTAGTGACAGAAGGAAGATCCCACTTTAAGTGTGTGCATGCGGGGGGCAAAAGCAGTGATAGAAGCACCAAGGGTTGACAAACTCCAGAACTCTAGATGTTGTGGACTAGATGTTCCATAATGCTCTTACAACCATAATGCTGGAAAAGCATCAGAGGAGATAAGGTCAGGAACATATAGAGTACCGTCGATTGTCTACCCCTCACTTAGAGTCCAGCAATATATTTGTTACATTTGTTAGAACTTCATTAAATGGTTTGTAATTGCAGTGACAAGTTCTGTAATCTTGTCCTGGCACCTGTGACTTAGAGTAGTCAGTATGACATCATGGCAGCTGATGTAACAAAGCTCTGAGGTCATCAGTGTAGTGTTCAGACCATAATAAGCACACAGTATGTGTCTTGCAAATAAGAAAATATAATGACCGTATAGGTGCTGTGCTAATCACTTACATTGGATCCAACTTTACATACATGGCTTGTAGTTGCACAGACCACTCCGATATGCTTCTCATTTATAGGCTGGTGTCAAATGTAGAGAAAGAACACAGATTAATAAGCCAATGTCCACGAACAAGATACAATAGGACAACAGCACATTGGAAAGCAAGATCTACTGACCTTGGACAGAAAAGTTTATTCTCAGGAACAAGTTGTACTTTAAAGGACCACTCTAGGCACCCAGACCACTTCAGCTTAATGAAGTGGTCTGGGTGCCAGGTCCCTCAAGGATTAACCCTTTTTTTTAATAAACATAGCAGTTTCAGAGAAACTACTATGTTTATAATAGGGTTAATCCAGCCTCCAAAGCCTCTAGCGACTGTCTCATTGACAGCAGCTAGAGGCGTTTGTGTGCTTCTCACTGTGAAAATCACAGTGAGAAGACGCCAGCGTCCATAGGAAAGCATTATGAATGCTTTCCTATGAGACCGGCTGAATTCGCGCGTAACTCCTGCTGCGCATGCGCATTCAGCCGAAGAGGAGGATCGGAGGCGGAGAGCTCCCCGCCCGGCGCTGGAGAAAAGGTAAGTTTAACCCCCTTCCTCCCCCCAGAGCCCGGCGGGAGGGGGACCCTGAGGGTGGGGGCACCCTCAGGGCACTATAGTGCCAGGAAAACGAGTACTTACCCATCATAATAAAGAGTTAATGTTTATACAAACATGGATTTGTATGACAGAGATGGTTTGATATTGCTCCAAACAATCTAAGATTTGGCAAATATCAAACAGAATATATCTTGTTAGTTTGGTGAAGCCCTACCTGACCACAAATAAAGAAATTAATAGTTGCTAGCTGAACTCAAAGCACTCCATAGACAGAAATGCCAACCCTGTGTCCTAATTTATCAGGTTACAGATATACTTCTCAAAAACCTGCAGTTTAACATCCTTTGCTACAACTGACATTTTTGGAGTTTGACTTTCATGGTCTCTCCTCTGACATAGTTCCTCATGCCTGTGCTCTTTAACTAATTTAAGGATTGAACTCAGTGTTGATGATTTGGCTAAGGTACGCCCTGAACTTTGGTTTTTATTTTGGAATTCTAATTGCCTCTTGGTGAATAGTGTTGCGATATAATTGTTTACAAAATATTTTGGTTGATGCTTACTAGGACACATTGTATTTTTTTAAAAAAATCACTTTTAAAAGGCACACAAACGTGAGCTATAGTGTTTATGATACCAAGAGCCCCTGGGAAGCTGACCAAAAAGTACAGTAATTTATCAAACTATTTACCAATTATTTGACCTTTACATTGCTTTTTTAGGCACGCACGGTCCCTCTGGTCTGAGTTGCTATGATGAAGCGAAAGCTCAATCTTTGGAATTATAATGCCAATTCGTACCCGATTTAGAATGTATTTATTGGCTGTGACCCAGACTCTGCTGGCTGCAGTGATATTGCTTAGAAAGACCCTTTAACTTATGCTTGTAAGTTTAATAATATTTTTGTGGATGTTTTACAGGACACTGCGTTTACAGTTAATCGAACTGCATTTATTTAGTTAGTTCTGTGTTATTTTCATAAAAGATTATGTTGTACATGTGACTTATTTTGAACAGATCCTGAAGTATTAAAGCACTTTTCTTAGTGGTACACGCACCTAATTAGCTGAAACTACACCTCTCAACAGCTAACTGAAAATTCAGTGTGTGAACAAAATAGATTATGGTAGTTTTTCATGTACCAATGTATTGTATTGTTTTGTTTACTTCTATTGATATCTTTTTTTTTTCCTACCTGTACGTTAAAATCTTTATAATTTTTAAAGGGACACTAAAGTCACCAAAACAACTTTAGCTTAATAAAGCAGTTTTTGTGTATAAATCATGCCTCTAAAGTTCACTTGTTCAATTCTCTGCCATTCAGAAGTTAAATTGCTTTTGTTTCTGTTTATGCAGCCCTAGCCCCACCTCCCTTGCCTATGACTGACAAAGCCGGCATGAAACAAAATGATTTCATTTTCAATCAGATGTAACTTTAAACGTTTTTATCTCTTGCTCTGTAAACTGAACTTTAGTTACATAAAGAAGGCTCCTGCAGGGTCTAGCAAGCTATTAACAGAGCATTAGATAAGAAATTCTAAATCAAACAGAATGTGCAATACAGGAAGTGCGAACATTCCTCTGTTCACAGGAAGTGTTTAGGAAGGCTGTGTAAGTCACATGCAGGGAGGTGTGCCGAGGGCTGCATAAAGTGATTTCATTCCTAAATGGCAGACAATTGAGCACTGAGACTGCAGTGGCATGATCTATACACCAAAACGGCTTTATTAAGCTACAGTTGTTTTGGTGACTATAGTATCCCTTTAATAAACACCTGTGGCCAAATTAGTAAATATACCCCAAAGACCACATGCATATATATATATATATACATATTTTCTGCATGTTTTCTTTGAGGTTATATGAAAAACAGGCTTGCCACAAAGCTTTTTCTATGCTTCTCAATGAGCTGTAGCACAAGGTGGGTCAAGCGAGCACAGCACTCCTGATAATTCCATTAGGTTTGCAGAGGCCAGGGAGGTGTTTCTGTCCCTAATTATAAAATCAGACCTTTTATTAACTGTCAAGAAAATGACAAACTCCAGACACACAAAGCACTGTGTGTGGAATGTTCCTTCAAGCTAGTTATATCGAGCATATTTGAGTCCAAGTGTCCTACTGGCTGCATAAGTCATTTTTACTTTCTTAATCGCCCAATTGCCATTTGAGTTTCCACTTTTGTTCATTTGTCCTTCTTCTGTAATTCACTCCCCCCATATATCAAACACTCTCTCTCTCTCTCCTATTTCATCTCGCCCCATCTCAATTTTAGCTTTACCTTTCTTAGCCCACTTCAGGTCTCTATTTTCCTTACGCCATGTTCTTCCACTTCAATACAAGCCTAACATTGATGCTGGTTTATTAACGGACACAAAGCGGGATAACTTACCAAAAAGTAACAAGAGCTAGATTTTGATTTGTTTATACCATGAATTCAACTAAAATCCAGATTTCGTATAGGTCACATTCTCTGGCACTCAAAGTTTTTCTAAAATGTGTCGGGTTTTGCAGCTCTAAACATGACATTATTGCCCCATTAAAGGTCTTCAGGTATACTGCACCTATAAAATCTGTTAACTAGCACTTTGACCGTAAATGCTTACAGACATGTAGTGGGTAAAAAAAAAAAAACATTAAAAAAAACTGACACACCAAGATACTTGGAGCAAAAAAAATCTTAACAGATAGATACTTCAGAGTAGCCTAAGAGAGGCTTACTGGCACCATAAACAAACTCACAGAATGCTCAGCTGTTCATGTGTAAAACAAGATTTGCAAAGGCTGCAGAGAAGAGAACTACAGGCTTTGAAGCGGTTTTATATATTTACCCCTAATGAAAACTATATCATTTAATGCGTGCATGTTTTCATTTGGGGTATATCTACTAAATTTGTATTTGGGAAATAGAGTGTCCCTTTAATTACCAACTACTGCTGGTAAGAGGGAGACGCAGTAAACTAGTTCATCTGAATGAGGCACTCTGCATGGCTCGCTGGGTCATAGTCATTTTCGAATGATATGATTAATTTTGCTGTCTTACATTCTCCGCCCTTAGTAAATTATTATCAAGGTAAACCAGTAAAGGAAAAATATCTACCAAAGTCCTGATAGTGTTCTACACATATAGAGATTACTTTCCTAACCAAGGCAGTTGCAGATTACTCATGACAAAGTGTGCAGATTGGAACTTTGTGTGATATCAGGAGTACCAACATAACGGTTACTCAACAATGTCAATATTACTCAATACTCCGACTGAATCCACCTATGGCTATTTCCGTGGGATCAAAGACGTTTGCGTTTCAGATATATGCAATGGGTTGTTCTCTCAATGGCTCTTGTTTAGTAAATAAGAGCAACATGGATCCAAAATGACATTTCTACGAGTAACATTTCTAAGTAAGTGTACCACTAACGATGGTCTGTGGAAAAATAATTACACAGAAATTTACAAAGAACCAAAGACTGTTTTATTTGCTGCCGAACAAGTCAATAATTTGCTGGCAATTGGAATTTGTATTTGCGATCTCTTCACCAGGCTTGTATATGATAAGTCGGAAGCACCGGCTCCGTTTTGCCACTGATAATGTAACAAAAATTGCTGTCAAAGTCTCTAATTAACCTGAGCACCAGTGTAATACGAAAAATTGACTGTCTATCTGCAGCAGAAAAAAAAATAAAAACATTAAAAAAAAAATATAAGAAAACAATAGAAAAAAAAAAAATTGCTCTTCGCAGAGTAACAAAACAAGGCACTTTAAACCCTTGAATCTCCTCACCAGTGAGGTTTTAGGTGCAGAAGCTGTTGGATGCCTCCTTTGGCAACAGAATGGTTAAGGTAGTAATTTATAAAAAGACTCCTGAGCTGCAAAACAAATGTAAAAAGGATCATTTTTAGCCTGGGATGACAATTCTTATTTTACAAATAAAGAGGGTATGCTGAAAAAGTCCGCTCTTGTTGTATGTCCTGAAATACAATAAACATGACAGAAAATGGAATCATAAAAAACTTGCATATAGCGAGGATTGTCGTACTAATGCTTTGTGGACTCGACAAAGATAGGAAGAAATGTCTGCTAAACTGCAGGGCTATTAACCAACTGGATGCATGCTAATGTTCTGCAGAGTACAAATCCGACCTCTTCTTTTTAACATATTGAAAGCTCCAACCATTGCGATCTGTCTCTTAAACATTAACCAAACCAAAATATTTATAACAAGTGGAGTTAATCCTCTGCCACAGTTCCTCCTTGAGACAAATAGCAGCTACCTGAGGGGTGATGGTGTGATTAAATCCACACGGAGGTCTTTCCATCTCCGGATCGGCTGCTAACGCTGCTTTTGTTTGAACCTTTCTTGATTTTTTTCTCTTTGGTGATAGGTGGATTGCTCTGGCTATTGTAGACCTGAACGGCCATTTCAAGTCGTTCCTGAGCCAAACGTATTTCCCGTTGTAGGTTCTCTAGATTAACTGGGATATTGTTCTCTCTGCTGCCATATTGCTGCTCCTGAGCAATGTTGGCTCTGTTCTGCTTGTATGCCATTTTGGCATTCGTGAGTTCTGTGTACTGTATTTGTTCTGGTTTCAAAGTGGTATTGTATCCAGGAGGAGCTGATGGCGTGTTCCACGTGAAAGGGTAATTATATGTGGAGGAATCATCAACCTCCTTTCTACGGTTATTGAGGACATCACGTATGGTCCCAAAGCCAAGGTGGAGCATTTCCCATACATTCAGAAGCAGGCAGAGGCAGCTCACACCGTACATGATTAAGAGAAAGATTGTTTTTTCAGTGGGCCTGGATATGAAGCAGTCCACTTTATGCGGGCAAGGTTTTGTAATGCACTCGTATCTTGGAATAACTTCAAACCCATAAAGGAAAAATTGCCCAGCCAGGAACCCCACTTCAAAAACTGTTCTGAACAGAAGCTGCAAGATATAAATTCTCATTAGCCCATCTGCACGGATACGTCTACGTCCATCATGTTTGACTTTGTTGCGGTTCACTTCCCTGTTTCCTCTTTCGCTTTCCATCTCATTTTCAGGGTACATAATAGGGTCTTCCTCATGGTCGTCTTCTGCTTCTTCTAGACCTCGATGTTGCCTCCACCGAAGAGGGAAATGTCTTAGTTTTGACCTCCTATCATACTCACTGCGCTCCTCTGTCCTTGCAATTTTGTGTACAGCATAGCCCAGATACAAGAGAGATGGTGTGGCAACCAGGATGATTTGGAATACCCAAAAACGGACATGGGAAAGAGGAGCAAATGCATCATAACAGACGTTTTCACACCCTGGCTGCTCCGTGTTGCACACAAACTTGGCTTGTTCATCATAGTAAATGGATTCTCCTCCTACCACTGTGAGAACAATGCGGAAGACTATTAATACGGTCAACCATATCTTGCCTACGAAGGTGGAATGATTGTGTATTTCCTCTAAAAGGCGCGTCAAGAAACTCCAGCTCATGTTGCCAGTTCCTCCTTCAAGACACAAAATAAAAATACAATAAAAGTTCATTACTTTGTACATTTGGCAATCGACAGTCTATTTATTGGCTAGAACCCTTGTTTATTTAGCAACATTCTATTAGATGCAATTTTGTTTAACAGATTTCTTATATACAGTAGACAGCATATAAGACAGTGATAAAACCTTAAAAAACCTATAAAATTCTCTATGCCAGTGCTTTTCAAAAAAATCTTCCAAAAGTCTTCGATATTACGAACCGTGAGATATAAATTAGATGTGGTCTGTCTGTGGTCCTTGAGGACTGTTTCGAGAAGCAATGGTCTATATTTTCTGTAAGGTCCAATCCACTAGTATGTTAATAAACAGGGATGAGAAGGGCTTGAAAAGATACTTTAAACAATAATTTGGTACAATCACTTCATTAATCATTGAGAAGTTATGGTAATTGCATTGTTCCTTTTTCTCCATTTTACATGGTCTGATTTTATGTCAGAGCCAGCAGCAGACTGGAGTAAAAGTAAGATTTTACTATATTTATAGGGGCAACGGGAGGGGCAGATGGTGTTTTTAACACTTTAGTGTCAAGAATACATGTTTGTGTTCCTGACCCTATAGTGTTCCTTTAAGCCAGGCTTCCCCAAACTCCGGCCCTCCAGATGTTGCTGAACTAGAACTCCCATGATTCTCAGCCTAGCTATTTCATTCATAGAATCATGGCAGTTGTAGTTCAGCAACATCTGGAGGGCCGGCGTTTGGGGAAGCCTTCTTTAAGCTGTAGTTGTTCTGGTGACTATAGTGTCCCTTTAAAGATATCTGAATAAAACACTTGGATCTTCTGCTGCACCACATACTCTTGCACAATATGTTCCTGCCCACTGGCTTGGATACATGGAGACCCACTGGGAATCCCCGCCAACCCCTCCCCCCCCCCGAAAAAAACTCTCCCCATCCCTCCTCACACTTTAAGCTTTCTATTGAAACTCAGGGTTTCTATAAGACATAGATAGTGGTTCTGGGTTCCTGATTCCCCCCTCTGATCTTCAGTCAATGTTATTTTATTCTATAATGGGATTTAAAAAGTACCTAAAATGTTATCCTTGCACTGAACCTTAGCAATTAACCATTGAACAACTGTTTGGAAAATCCTTACATCATATTGCTACATGGACAGATTAAGTAACACAGAATACTTAACTAAGGTAAATTTTATTGAATTGATGCCAAATTATCTGCAGAATGGATCATCAAGATTTACACACCTGCATCCCGGAGCTCTTGTCAGCTAAAGTTCTGCGTGACATGCAAATCTTTCCTGGAGGTTTTACACATCCCACTGAAATATAAATCACAGGTAGATTTACCATCCAATAAACTATTATTCGATAACATATATACCTTTTTATATTTGTTCATATATATAATGGTCACCCTCCCAACAGAGATGCATTGATTATATGAGGAGATGCAGACTGGCGTAGGGCGTCATTTTACTGCGCATGCGCAATAACTTCTCAATGCATTCTTATGGGAAGGCATTGGATTGTCTGAGATTGTCAACTTTGATGATCTCAACCATATAGGCGGAGCCAGGTGGGGTCATCTGCAGTGAGACCAGTGTGGCGCTGGTAATAAGAGGAGTAAAAACATCATTTTACAGTGTTCATTTAAGGTTATACAACTAAATTTCCTAATCATAAAAAAAAAAAACCTTCTACCGAAAACATTTATTGAGTTCATATTTCAGTATTTAGTGCAAAACATATAATGTTACCTACCTATCATGCCATGGAAGTTACAGATACCTACTAGGGATCGACTGATTTTTTTAAAAATTTGTTTAGAGCCGATACCGATAATTTGTGAACTTTCAGGCAGTTTACCGATATTCTGTACATTTACCGTTTTGAATAAATAAACAAACTATTTCTACACAAATCTACTGTTAACTGAACATGTTTATTATTTATTTATTTGCAAATCTTTTTTTTTATAAGGTAAATGCACAAAATATGCATGTCGGTCAGAATGTTTTATGTTTTCAAGAATATATGTCTGTGTAGAGAATGCAGTGTGTGTGTTTGTGTAGTGTGTGTATATAATGAATGCATAGTGTGTGTGTTTGTGTAGTGTGTGTATATAATGAATGCATAGTGTGTGTTTGTGTAGTGTGTGTATATAATGAATGCATAGTGTGTGTGTAGTCTGTGTATAGTAAATGCAGTGTGTTTGTATAGTGTGTATGTAATGAATGCACAGTGTGTTTGTGTAGTGTGTGTATAGTGAATGCAGTGTGTTTGTGTAGTGTGTATGTAATGAATGCACAGTGTGTGTGTTTGTGTAGTGTGTATATAATGAATGCACAGTGTGTGTGTTTGTGTAGGGTGTGTATAGTGAATGCAGTGTGTTTGTGTAGTGTGTATATAATGAATGCACAGTGTGTGTGTTTGTGTAGTGTGTGTATAGTGAATGCATTGTGTGTGTAAAGTGAATGTGGTGTGTTTGTGTAGTGTGTATAGTGAATGCATTGTGTGTGTAAAGTGAATGTGGTGTGTTTGTGTAGTGTGTATAGTGAATGCATTGTGTGTGTAAAGTAAATGTGGTGTGTTTGTGTAGTGTGTATAGTGAATGCATTGTGTGTGTAAAGTGAATGTGGTGTGTTTGTGTAGTGTGTATATAATGAATGCACAGTGTGTGTTTGTGTAGTGTGTGTATAGTTAATGCAGTGAAGGTTTGAGTAGGTATGTAATGTGTGTAAAATGTTTTAAATATAACATTTTTTAACATTTTGTTTTAGTACCCCCTCCCTGCTTCTTACCTGGCCAGGGAAGGGGGAGATCGCATTCCCTGGTGGTCCGGTGGCATGGACTCTGCAGAGGGGGCCCAGCAACACTCTTACTTCCCTTCCCAGCAGTTCCCCGTCTAACTCTCGTGGCCTGTGTGCCACGTTGCCATGGTAATCCGTGGCAACGCTCTGACGGCCACGGGACTCATGAGATTTAGACAGGGGAGCTAATGGGAGCAGCTGGGAAGGGAAGTAAGAGTGTGCTGCGGGGCCCCCAGGCCCATGACAACCGTCTCGGCTGTCATGCCCTGATGGCGGCCCTGGTCTGCATTATCGGTATCTTTATAGGCCGATACCAATATTGCAAAAAAATCGGAACAGCCAGATCAATAATCGGTTGATCCCTAATACCTACCTCCATATGAAATGGCAGGTTAGGAGATAATTATACTGAGTGACAAACGGAATATAGCAAGAATATAGAGTATTAGATTTTGGAACATAAAATGATTTATTTACAAAACACCCAAACTGTGGTAAACTAAATAGCAAATTGCAAAGCAGAAGCTAAAATACCCAAGATGAAAGTCCAGCAGCGTTTGAGAAGAAGCATTTTACTACCAGCTATTGTTTCCTAAAGTTTTTGTGATTCCTTTCTCTGTTCAAAACTATTTCGTGTTAAGTAAATATACCCATCTGGAATATATGAATTCAGGGGCAGCACGTAAAACTCTACCAATTTGGTATTTGATGAACTCTATAAACTAACCGGTGTCAGATTTCCTCAATTAATTGAGGTTCCATAGGGCTTCTATCCGATTTAAAAAAAATGTTGGATTAGCTTTTCAAATGATTTATTATTTTGAACATTTTTTTATTAGGATACGTTTTTGAAATTTTAATATTAAAAAAAATAAAAAATAAATAGGTTTTCTAAAATATTCAAACAGAGGCCTAAGTTGCCAAAAATGATTAATAAAATGAATGCATCTTCTTTTAGCAACTCATTAATGGGCTCTGTAGACGTCCGAATGCTTTGATTTGCATACTATAAAACAATTTTAGTTCTACCCCTTCACATTGCTGCCATTAGAAGCTCTATTTATTTATTTTAAATCAAATTGTACAATACCAGAAAGCGATAACTTCACTACACGCTGTTCAATTATACAAAATACCCAATGCTTGTGATGTCATTAGACGCAGAAAGAGTTTAAAAAAATAAAATTAAAATAAAAATGTAACTGGCAATACATACACATTAACCTCTATCATGCATCCTGCCCATTATGTCCCTATATTCTCTACCCTCCTTCAAAAATTCACTAATCTTTTATAATCACAAATGAAACAGGACAAGGCTGAACTCATTCAATGCCTTGCTACCTCTACTATCACCCCTCTAAATAGCGTCCTGTTTGGTGATTCTGGACCAAGAGCTCCCTAGACAAATTATACCGGTTTGTAGGTTGCTCGCAGTCAGGTGCTCCATGTGTCTCCTTACGTGTCTATGATGACTCCTGGGCCGCTGGAATGGGCTTTGGGGCTGGAGGGGTAAAATGTGGTGATCATAGTTCTTATTAGAGGCAGGTGGTGGTTAGAAGACATGTACCAGTCCTGGGTGACCGGATGGTCTGCCACGCTAGCAATAATATAAGTTCTTAAAAGGAATGCTCCAAACACCATAACCACTACAGCTCACCAGTGCCCTGGTAACCCCCATTAAAGGAGTCAAACCTTTTTTGAATGGTTTGACTTCTTGCCTGGGATCTGCCAGGACCCTCCACTCCACTACTAATGCCGTAAAGCTGGAGACCCCAAAGCAGAAACTCAGAAACTTCTGTTAGGTCTTCTGCAGGGCTACGTCATTGGTTGAGAGCATCATTACAGTGCTTGAAGTGTTCTGTTGAAGAACACTACTACTTTGATTGGAGGGAAATCTCACTAACATGTTAGGGCTCAATTCACTTAAACCCCAACCAAGATTTTTTTTTTTTTATCATTTGGCTTTTATGGAATACAAAGTCATATAGCACATTAGTCGCAATAACAGAAGTGCCAGTGGAAGAATAAGAAACAGAAGATGTAATAAACGCGTCAATTCTAGCACAGATGACAAGCTGTAACAGAAGCACAACATTCCATAGGATATATGAAACATATAATCAAACCAGTTAAGTAAAAGTTTCCAACGATAAATCGCTGCGGGTGATTATACAACCAAGTGCCAAGTACCGCTAAACCGATTTAGTTCTACATAAATGGGTACACATTGACCAACCATGCTTTTTAAGCAGAAAGTTTTGTCCATTGGAAAGTCAACCTATATAGACATCCACAGCTGCCCACCTCTCCTTGTTTGGAATTATAGTGGCATTAAAGGGAGGTGTAACAAGGTTAATTTGTAAAAGTGCCAATTTATATTGAAATCTGTACTTTTTATAAAATGAAAACAGAAGATACGCTCTACACACATAATTCAGTTTAGCAGGCTGAGATCTGGAGTATTCCTTAAACCGCCTCTCTGTTACCTACTACAGGAAAACACGATTCAAAGCTCAAAAAACAAACATCTAGGCCATTTGGATAGCTTATTAAGCAGTTTTTAACCAAGATATTACTGAAATTCTGCAGCCATGTTATGCTCAATTTGGGGAAGGTTTAATAGGATGAGGTAGGTATTCCAAATAAATAGTGCAGCCCATGAAATATGTGAGTTAGCAATATGGTAGCAAACAGAGGACAAGAGCAGGTCACTCGTGATAATTACATCTGTTTGGTACAACTGTTATATCAAAACATTTAAGGAACATTACACTTTATGTTATAAGTAAAGATGTAGCAAATTGTAATGGAACACAATCATTTTATAGTGAAGTGCCATTGGGAGGGCCATCAAAGAAGATATACAATCAACACCACCCACTGCACTAGCGGTGCAGGAATACCCTCCTGGGAACCAAGGAAAACATTGTCTTCCAATAAGCCATCTATATTTGATGAAAAGAAAGAGGAAGTTCCCAGTATCCCAGCCTATCACACGACATATCACTGGTAAGCCCAGGATGCCCTCTTTACAATACAGCAGGGGTTGATAGAGTAGCTCAAAAGAATAAAAGGAGATGCATGTGAACGAAATGTCCAGTACAGAGGACACAAGTTAATGGGCTGGATCTCAGAAGGATATAGCTTAGTAAAAATTATGACATTCCACCCGGAACAGGCCTCAATCGTGCGACCTCAGAGTAGTATTGTAATTGCATCGTGTGATTGTTATCCCTGATCACGTGACTCACGTGACCGATCATATAAACAAAATAAGAAAAGTATATCCATAGGCAAGGTAAGAATACAGGTAAAATAAACCGAGAAATAAACTAGATAAATGGCACTACTATCTTGACCAAATTTTTTTTACAAAAATTAATATATCTACATATCTCAGCAATGGAGGTAAAGAGGGGGAGGAGATGAGCAAGTGGTCCACTTTTTATACCAGCTATTGCTGTGATGACCTATAAATAACCGGGAAAGGAAATCCAGGATTGAATTAGCATTAAGTTAATTTAGCACATATTTGACAAGCTTTCAAGATGTATACTGCTTTCCTCAGGCTAGCTCGCTGGAATGTATAAACAATCCAGAAATCTGTGCCAGTCATGCGAAAAAGAAAGAGGGGGAAATAAAAAAAAGTCATCGAGTCCTGCGAGCAAACAAAACCTCATTTAAAGAATGTCAAGCCATAAAGACCGCGCCGAAAATACATTCATCCCCCCCCACCCCCACGCCTCCGATAAAATTTCGAGCTGCACTTTAACTGCAATTAGGGAAGGCATCAACATTAACTCAATACTTTTGTAGACAACACACGAACAAATACAAATACATAGTGACACCTGTCAAAAAACAAAAAACACAGCATCGGACACCAATTGTATTCCTTCTAATTAGCTCGGCAAGAAAGTGGTGAGGTTGTGCTATCTATTGCAGAACATATTACATTGTTTGTTGAGTTAGGAACGACTTGCTGTGTCTGCAATAACAAAGGCCACTTTCCACTCAGAATCTATCTATTCTAAGAGAAAGAAAAAAAGGAAAAGGAATATGCTGGATATTAAAATGCACTCAGTAGCCACTTTGGCCCTGATTTTAATATTTTGTTGGAAAATGTTTTCCTACTGAGTTAATATTTTTGGATCAACATTGAAAATGACGACAATATTTTAATGTTGTAATATTTTCGTTATATTTGTTATGTTAACACTTTGAAAATAATCATTTTAAAAGTTTAGCCAAAATATTAAAGGGACACTATAGTCACCTGAACAACTTTAGCTTAATGAAGCAGTTTTGGTGTATAGAACATGCCCCTGCAGCCTCACTGCTCAATCCTCTGCCATTTAGGAGTTAAATCCCTTTGTTTATGAACCCTAGTCACACCTCCCTGCATGTGACTTGCACAGCCTTCCATAAACACTTCCTGTAAAGAGAGCCCTATTTAGGCTTTCTTTATTGCAAGTTCTGTTTAATTACGATTTTATTATCCACTGCTATGTTAATAGCTTGCTAGACCCTTCAAGAGCCTCCTGTATGTGATTAAAAGTCAATTTAGAGATACAATTATTTAAGGTAAATTACATCTGTTTCAAAGTGAAACCAGTTTTTTTTTTCATGCAGGCTCTGTAAATCATAGCCATGGGAGGTGTGGCTAGGGCTGCATAAACAGAAACAAAGTGATTTAACTCCTAAATGACAGTGAATTGAGAAGTGAAATTGCAGGGGAATGATCTATACACTAAAACTGCTTTATTTAGCTAAAGTAATTTAGGTGACTATAGTGTTCCTTTAACTCATTTGTAATACATATCCCAACAATATTAAATCGAGCACTTTATTAGATATGGCAATATCCCCCCTTTTAGTGTAAGTGACCAAACAACTCGCCCCCATTTTTACATTTGTTTGTGTGTGGCTACTCACCCACCAAGCACCCTTCCCCATGGTCTTTCCTTAGTCCCATATCTTTAATTCACAAAAATAGAAAAAAAATGAAGGGCAGCGCAAACAATTGCAAATGTGCACACTGAGTGCTACAAAAAGATTTATTCTCAAGGACATAAGGTACCAACGTTTCAGGTTATCCCCTTTATCAATGCATATCCTTCAATAGCCCCTTATCTTTAAAGGGACACTATAAGCACCCAGACCACTTCAGCTCATTGAAGTGGTCTGCATGCAATGTCCTAGTCCCCTTAACCCTGCAATTGTAATTATTGCAGTTATTGTTGAAATAATGACATTGCAGGGTTACCCCAGGCACATCTGGGTCCTTAGTGGACTTTTAGTCCGTTAAATGTCACTGGACATCCACCGTCATCTCAAAACTCACAGGAAAGCATTGAGCAACTCTTTCCCATGGGGCAGTCCTAATGCGAGGGTGGCGCTCACCGCGCATGCACATTAGGAAGGTCGGCATTATAGGTCACTATAGTGCTAAGGAAAATACTTTGTTTTGCTAGCACTGTAGTTCCCCTTTAAATACAACATTTTCATGAGCCTCTTCAAAAAAAAAAAAAAAAATATGTATAAGAAGATCCTTCGCAGAGGAAAGCTGGAGTTAAGCCGCATGTTATACAGAGCAGGGGCTTAGAAATGAAAAACAAAACAAAAACATAATAAATCCTCTTGTCCAAGTGACTAAAGTGGTCGTCCAATCTACTTGTCCTGACACAAAATTTCAATGTTTGCGGAATCTGCTTAGTCCTTGACATTGGCAGAGTTATTCACTAAACTTTGAATATTCCCAGGTTAAATCTGAACGGAAAATCAGAGGGCAACATAGGAAAATACTACAACTCCGCTATCGTCACAACTGGATATTTTTTACTCTGTATTTCCATTCGGATTTAATTTGCAAAAACATGGAGTTCAATGTCTCGCCCTCTGTCTTCCCCCGTAATGTGTGCGTTTATGTAGTGATTGTCTGGTATGTGCTGCTTGTATGTAATGGGCTAGCTGTGTGTCATGTGTTTGTGCTGGTTGTATGTAATGGACTGGCTGGTTGTATGTAATGGACTGGCTGTATGTAATGTGTGTGTGCTGGTTGTATGTAATGGGCTGGCTCTGAGAAGTGTGTTTGTGCTGGCTGTGTGTAATGTGTGTGTGCTGGTTGTATGTAATGGGCTGGCTGTGCGTAATGTGTGTGTACTGATTGTATGTAATGGGCTGGCTATGTGTAATGTGTTTGTGCTGGCTGTGTGTAATGTGTTTGTGCTGGTTGTATGTAATGGGCTGGCTGTGTGTAATGTGTATGTGCTGGCTGTGTGTAATGTGTTTGTGCAGGTTGTATGTAATGGGCTGGCTGTGTGTAATGTGTGTGTGCTGGATCCCTTACGCTCACCAACCCTATTGCATCATGTGATCGTTACCACTGGTTATGTGACTCACGTAAGCAATCATATAATCAAAATACGACAGTATAACCCATAAAGCCACTTACAAAGTCTTTCCTTAGCTTTCCAAGACTCCAATACAAGGAGCATATTATTTACACAACCACAACCTCATTAATTGCTTCTCTCGGTACCGGCATTCACAAATCCTGCCTAAGCCCTACAGTAAAGGAAAAGATTGTACAGCAAATGCTGATGCCAATCATTGATTATGGGGATGCAGTATATGCACCTGCACCTCAAACCCACCTAAATAAACTCAATACATTGTATAACTCGTTCTGCCGATTTGTGCTACAATGTAATTACAGGACCCACCATTGTGACATGCTAAAACAGGGCTCGACAGATCCCAGGCACCAGGTCGCCATTGCGATTAGAAATTTTAGCTTAGTGCTTGGGATTTAAAGCCCTTTAGCTAAAGGCAGGATGGGGGAACAATGAAGCCGGCCAGTCGTCCGGAGGAGCGTGCAGGCGGCTGCCCTGAGGAACGTGGACAGCCGGCTCAGGTATCGTGGAGGCGGCCGCCCAGGGCAGCGTGCTCCCTGTGGTCGGCTGTGGCAGCGTGTGAGAGAGCAGTGATTTTCAAGTGGCTCCCCTCTGCTCCCTCACGCTTTTTAATGATGCTGGGAGTCGGAATATGACGTCATTCTGGCTCCCGGCATCAATACAGGGAGCAGAGAGGAGCCGCTTGAAGATCACTGCTCCCTCACACGCAGGATGAGCGAGCAGCCCCACTGGACACCAGGGAAAGTCCACTCAGCTCTCCCAAAGGTAGGGAGGCTGGGTGGATTAAAATAAAAATGGAAAGTGTGTGTGTATGTTTGTCTGTGTGTGTGTTTCTCTCTCTCTCAGTATGTGTGTGTGTGTGCCTCTCTGTCAGTATGTGTGTGTGTGTGTCTCTCTCTGTCAGTATGTGTGTGTCTGTGTGTATGTCTCCCTGTCAGTACTTGTGTGTGTGTTTGTCTCTCCCTGTCAGTGTGTGTGCACGCGTTTCTCCGTCAGTGTGTGTGCGCATCTGTCAGTGTGTGTGTGTGCGTGCGTCTGTCAGTGTGTGTGTGTCTGTGTCAGAGAGTGTGCCTTCTTGTGTCTGTTTAGGTTCCTGCACACCTCCGATCACGAGAGAGGTGTTTTTAGGCACCTTCTTTCCCACGCCATGCCAGTTTCCTCGGCTTGTTCTGCCTTCATGGGTGAGATAATCAATCTTTAAGATCTCCGCTAAACCAATGCTTTGCCATGGCAACGCTCTGACTGGATCTCGTGAGATACATGGTCTGCAGCTCTGCACGCTGTGAAGCTGCAGACCGGCGGCCATGGCCAAAGGGAGCCCACTGGACCACCAGGGAGAGAAACTAGGTATTTAATCACCCCCTTCCTCCCTCCCAATATTCCCGCCACCCAAGCATTAGCCCTCTCCTTCCCAGTATCCCCCACAGTATTACCCCCTCCCTCACAGTATCAATCCACTGTCCCACACGCCATCACCCCGACTTCTCACACAGTATCAACCCCCTCACACACACTGTCACCTTACCTCACACACACTGTCATGCCTCCCACAATGTAGTTTTACCATAGTCTCACACAGTAAGCCTCCCCACACACACACTGTCACCCCCCCCACTTTCAGCCCCTTTACGCATCCACACTCACATTAACCACTCCTAATCTTGTTAATCTCACCTGCCCTCGCTCTGCCACACTCACCCAGTCAAACTAACCCCCTAATTCTGTCACACTCACCTTCTCTTACTCTGTCACACTCTCCCCCCTAACCCTGCCACACGTATCCTGTCAATTAATGTCTCTAATCTTGTCACATAAAATGCAACCATATTATTTATTTTTTTTCACTTTTGGTGTTAGTGAGGCCTTATGGGTGAGTTTCACCTAAGGCTTCATAAAATCTAGAGCCGCCTCTGATAGGATCGATCTATGTTTCTTCAGAGCCGATGCTCAAAAAGCTCTTCTTAATGATGAGAGGTGGTATCTGGCACCAAGACATTAGCAGCAGATCCTTAAAATTACAAAGTGGAGCCTCCATGGATTGGATTTGTTGTTCCAGCACATCCCACACATGCTCAATCGGATTGAGATCTGGGGAATTTTGAGGCCAAAGCAACACCTTGAACTATTTGTCATGTTACTCAAACAATTCCTTAACATTTTTTTCAGTGTGGCAGGGTGCATTATCCTATGTGGTCTGCAACAGTCTCTAGGTAGGTGGTAAGTCAAAGTAACATCCACATGAATTTTGTCCTAACTGGCACCACTTTTGGTAGGACCGACCCACGGCATACCAGGAACACCACACTAGATTTGCTGTTTTGGAGATGATCTGACACAGTATTCTAGCCATCACTATTTGGCCCTTGTCAAAATCACTCAGATCTTTCCGCTTGCCCATTATTCTTGCTTACAACTAAAATTCAAGAACTGAATGTTCAGTTGCTGCCTAATATATCCCACCCCTTGACAGGTGCCATTGTCACGATATAATCAAAGTTATTCAATTTACCGGCCAGTGATTTTAATGTTTTGGTCAGTGTATATATAAATATACAAACTCAAACGGCATTCTATTGGTTAGCATCAGAAATGCAACGCTAGAACGTTTGCAACCAATGTCGCAAGTTTGACAAGTCACGAAGGCTCCATAACACGACACACTCCATTCTGGGTATAAGAGGCATCCAGAGTGTTCCACATTAAAATGCCGGAATGACAGGCGACATCAAAATGTAGACGAGGCATAAGCAACCTTTGGCACTCCAGATGTTTTGGACTACACCTCCCATGATGCTTTGCCAGCATTACTGGGGATGTAGTCCACATCTAGAGTGCCAAAGTTCTGCCTACCCCTGATGTAGACCATGCCTGTGCCCAGATAGAGCAGCAATCACGGCTATTGTGAATCCTGTCACCTGGGACTTGTGGCAAAAAACCTCACTTATCCTCCCCCCAACCATTCGAATGCTATTGTCTGGAATGACAGCAGGAATAGTGCAACCATCAAGTATATAAAATCAAAAAACAATTCTGAAATATTATGTGTATTGCAATGGATAGTGATGATTTTTTAATTGAAGTATATATATATATATATATATATATAATGTATATATTATTTTTTAACCCCTACAGTGCTGCATTAAAAAAAGACAGAGCTACTGTAAGGAAAATATTTTGGCTAATAGTGGTAAAAAGGTTAAATCTGACAGCATCAGATACTGGTAAACACATCTCTCTGCTTACGTTCACCCTATAAATCTGCAAAATCGAGACCCTATGGGAAATGGCTGATGGGTCACTTCACAGAGCTAACATTTTCCATTCCAGCTCAGTAAAATAATGATGGAGCAGTAGATAAAAATACATTTACCATCAGACTAGCGTAACGTCAATGCTGCTACACGTTCAAACATCCCCAGCTTGACATGTCCTGTTTTTGCAACATTGCTTTTGTCCCTTGGGACTCATTGTTGGTGTTTTCTGAGCCACTCAGACGAAGGGATTTAATCTTTGTGAGATGAAATTTGAAATGCACAAAAATTCTAAATCTTACAGAACAAATAAAGACAAACACAAAACAACTGGTTTCAATACATTGTGGGTTTTACAGTAAAATGGAGTGTTTGGATGCTTTGAAAACAAAAACAACAAAACACAACTTACTTTCAATTTATTTTAATAAGATTCCTTTTTCTAAATCCACTTTGAGTAAATCTTTCGAACATTAAAATCTTGTCCCTTTTCTATTAAATTTTGTACAAAGGAAACCAAAGTCCGCCAGCCAGACATAGTGGCTTTGCCCTAATAGCCTGGAAAAATGAAAGATTTTATGGAAGGGCCGCTGTCCGCACATTAGCATGCAGACAGTCAAAATGCAGGAAATTGTCAAGAGAAAAACCGTAAGCTTAGTGCTTAGTTACAAATATCTCCACAGAAATCTCTTACTGGAATCGCAAAGCCCATGAAAATTCCTCCTGCAGCTTCATTTCCTCGTGTCTAACTCTAACTAATTAACACCACAACCACGTGCATGTTTAAAGGGACACTACACTCCTCATTTCAGGCTTATCTTTTAGGAGAATCTGGTTGGCTATGCAGGAACTCCTGCCCGAAAGACCCAGGTGAGTTGACAAACCATCCTAAAATATATGACTACTTACTGTAGGACAGCGCCAGTGCCTTCCAAGCACCATAACCACTTCAGTGGGCTGTAGTGCTTAATGTGCTCGGAGTGTTCTTCTGAACAGAGAGTGTCACGCCAACAGTTTGAGAAATAAATATTACATGTTTTGACATCCCACCCAGGTTTTATTCAGACAGCTTGACACAAGCCTTCTCTTAATTAATTATTGTGTTTTCAGTGCTTAAACTACCCACCATGTTTTTACAGGTAGCAAAAGACGACATGTGCTTTTAATGGAACACGGAGATTTGGTCTAGAGACAGAACTAGCACAAGATTTAGTGGGCAGTGTGGCCTATCGACAGATATTTAGCCTTGTGTGCTTTTTACACTTTTTGGTAAGCATACGTAAATATTTATAAATAATATCTCACAAATAGATAAAAGGACTCACTGGATGCCCAAGTCAAACTCCGAAAGTGGCAGTGTGAAGGAACGGCTTACTTCCTCAGCAGGTATTCAAAAAAGTGCAATGCACACCCAGGGCTCATAAATGTCCATTAAAAAGATCAATGAATCACGACTGGGAAACTAACTGCTGAAAAGACTGATGACAATTAACCAACGCTATTCTGACATTTTTCCAATAGTTTGCCACCGGTTATCTGATTAATGGTAAATCATAATGTGCTGTTTTGGAGGTATATGAAATGAACACTCATATGGAAAGAAAATAAATGAATATATATTTATATTTGCAATTTAGTAGATATGCCACAGATGAAAACATGCATGTATTTATTGCGGCATTATTACCATTGGTTGTATATCTAAAAACGGCTTGCAAAAGCTGCAGTTCTGCTGTCTGCAGCCTTTGCAAGCCCTCCTCTTTTTTTCCCAGCACAGACTGTCTAATGGCCAATCGAAGGCTTTTCAATGAGTCTCACTGATTTTGAGCCCCAAGAGAGCATGCGCTCACAACTTTCACCCTTAGGTTTCCAGTCTGAACGCCAGGGAGTCTATGGACAGGACTAAAGCGGACCCCTAGGATGCGAGAGGCACACTTTCACTTGGACGGGCCCAACAGAATCTATGAGAAAACCTCCCCGGCTATCTGACAGTCAGGGAGGTGTTCCTGCAATTTGTTTTAAAATTATTATTTTTTTGCCAATTTCAGATAGCAATCAACACTTTTATACACAATTAAAGGTGCTACTGACATGCTTTATGTTATTGCAATCTCCCCTGAAATTTGATTTAATGTTTCAGTGACTATTCAGTCTGCGACAGAGTGTATATTCATTTACAGCCTGCTGCTATAGTAGCTTGGTTATCACTAGGATAAAAAAAAGCATTTATGTACATTCTTCCAAGAGGTTACACTTCATGGTGCAGGTTACAGAGGAGCAGATTCCTTTCTGCCTCATTTCACTGGAAATAAAACCATCCACTTTCAATTAGAGGTTCTACTCCCACCCTCCCTCCATGCCTGTCTTGTACACAACCACAACACAAGGAGCACGATCTAAAAGCAAATGCAAGTAGTCTGGCTAGCTGTAGTGCAAGGTCTCTAATAAATTCCATCCTTGATGGACAAACCAAAACAGTCAACACAGAAACCAATGTTTCTGCTTCCTACTCCACTTTTAGAACTTTGCCACAAAATTACTCTTTATATAAACCCCCAACGTGTCTTTAAAGATTTATTGATTCTAAATATCCTCATCCGCATGACCTATAAGCATTGTATGTAGTTTTTTTTTTTTTTTAAACACTCCAATGACCATAATCACTGCAATGTGCTCAAGTGGTTATGGTGCAAGGAGTGCCCTCTCAAGCAGTTTGTAATGGTTTGACAACTTGTGATCCATCAGGTGCAGGTAACCTCCTCCAAACGAGCCAGGAGCTTCTCTTAAAAGCCATACACTCTATGTTCATTCTTATCATATAGTATTGATGTATAAATTCATTAAAATAGGTATGACAACTACAAAAAGACGTTTTATGAAAGACACCTTGTTTCCTTACAATTCAAGAAGCCCACGGCCCATAGCAGCCTCGTCTAAATATACATTCTGATCCTGTACATCTGATATAGAACCCCAGTAATAATCTATTGCAACTCCTTTCTTCAAAATAGTCTGACTGTTGATCAAAGCTTTGGAGGAGGTCATACAGCAAATTAATTTATTGGATCAATAAAAATGTGTGCTTGCAAATCCTCCATAACAACACCGAGAGATAGACAGACAGTTGTAAAGACAGGTTTCTCAGGGAACAGAAGAATGCAGAACTCCAAAGCAATTACAAAGGTAAAGGGCTAAGCAACAATTTGGTGTAATCAATATATGTGACAAATATTTTGTATCACAAAATATAACAAAGAATAATGAAACAGGGGTCTACTGTACCCTCTTATTGAACACGAGGAACTTGTGGTATGCTTCCCCCACCACACTCAAAGACACCAGGGGACGTTTATAGAGAAACCATCAACAATTTGTTACCTGGGCACTACACACTGCCAACCATTTCCGTTGGCAGGCCCTGTGAAAATCTACAAGTAAAACATTGTTTGTAAATATACCATTCAGGTGGAGGGATAAATATGTAAAATGTATTTTCCAACCAATATTCAGATTATTAACTTCAGTCTGAAATGTAGCATTTGTTTACATATGACTATGGGAAAAAAACTAAAACATAAAAAAATAAAAAATGTTTGCATTTAATAAAAGTTTTGTTTTTAAATCCTTTTTTTTTTCCTTTCCATTTTGTTTCTGTGACAAACTGCACTTGGCATCTTACCAGAGATTTCAGACTAACAGTATTATTCATTAAATTAAACATTGTTGATAATACCAAATTATTTACTTATTATTTAATTATCATTTCAAATTTAAGGCCAAAATAGCAAGACAAAAAAAAAAAAGAAGCCAAACCAGCTATGCTGCGGTCTACTTTGGCCTTACATTTGAAATCCACTTTGAATTCCGACAATTCTCACTTATAAAATATCCTGTGAATCTTCAAAAAGCGTCTGATTTAGAAGTTTGTTGATATCAGTATAACGTACTTTATACTGTGAGTACATTTCAACAAATGTTATTTAAGTGCACAACATTACAAATCATATCTGCCTGCGCAGGGGTGGGTATCTATAAAGGGCACTTTTATCGCCTGGTGAACGTATCAAGTTATAAAAGGGCTGTTTAGTAGAGGCACTAAACACTCCAAGCTGAAATGCAGGTTAGCTAAGACAGAAATTGCATTTGCCTGAGAAAGTGTACCACTTCATCACCACGCACACAGAGACAGACTGATCTCCTCAAACAGACAGGGTTCACACACATAAAGCCACTGGCCCCCTCTTCCCCCCATACAAGGATCACTGACCCCCTGTAGCTCCCCTTTCCCATCACCAGCTCTGAAAAACTTAAATTTAAAACTGTCAGGAGGGGAAGAGGCAAGGGGAGCCGTAATAAAAAAAATGGAGCAGGGATTCAAAGTATTAAGTTTATAACAGGCAATTCAGTTTATTATTGCAAGTGAAAAGTTGGTCAGAACAATCCATTTTTCTCGATGTATCTACTAGACAGTGCTACAAAACTGGGCTATAAAAAAAAGTTTAGCAGACAGGCACAGGAGGACACACAGAGGGAAACAGACAGACGTGACGACAAATACTTACTACATGTTTGGCTGTGTGTCCCTTCCTTGTCATGCTGGCTCCCGATCGCTCTGCAGTCTGTGTCCTTACTGACAGCGGCTGAACTGTCTATGTAATGGGCTAAGGCAGGATGTATGTTAGAATGAGGAGGAGTGGCTAAGGATGCAGGCTTGTAGTTCAGTAAGCTGCAAAACTTATTTTTGCACAAACTATCTCTAGTTCATAATGTAAAAATACAGCATATTATGAGGTTAAACCGATCAAAGGTATTAAAGTTATTCTAATGCCTGGAGTGTCCCTTTAAGAGTGTATTCAGAGAGGAATATTGATTTTAGGGCATTCTAGAACTAAATATATGCAAAACAGTTATATTTATGTATTACTGGGATTTATAAGGCACCAACATATTCTGCAGCGCTGTACAATTAGGGAAGAATAATGTACAATATACATAAACAAATGCAAAAGTTAAAGAGGACACTGCCCGTTAGCGGAGATCTAACTTTTGAACCTTTTTTATACGAAGTAGATGGTGACAGTCACTGCAAAGCTATTGTACATGCATGTGTGCCTTTTCTCTTAATAGTTTTTGGTGAACAAATTTAAATGTGTTTCTGGATTACGATATTCCCAACTATATTGCACTCAAAGTGATACTTCTGTAGATAACAATTGTGTTACGGCCTCAACACATACTGAACATAATAAGTTTGCATTTCTCACAATAAACTTATTCCACTAATAAGCCAAATAAAAAATTTAAATTGTCTCCCCCCCTCTATCCACCACGAGTGCTATAGCTATACCTAATTTCAGTTTTCACTTTATGTCCTTTAAAGGAACACTATAGGATCAGAAACACAAGCATGTATTCCTGACCCTATAGTGTTTAACCCACCATTTAGGTGGCTTGCCCCACCTTAGCCCCCCTATAAAAGTTTAAAACTCACTTTATTTCCAGCGCCGCACGGGTCTGCCCCATTGTGAGATCATCAAAATGGCAGATTTTTAGCAGATCCAATGCTTTCCCATAGGGAAAGCATTGTATTGTCTAAAATCGGCACGGGGGAGGGGACAAATGCCTTTTTGGCCAATCAGGACCTCCTCCTAGAGATGCATTAATTCAATGCATCTCTATGAGTACAATTCAGTGTCTCCATGCAGAACGTGGAGACGCTGAACATCAGGGCTGCTTTATCGGCAGCAGTGGCCCAGGAAGCACCTCCAGTGGCCATCTATGGAGTGGCCACTTGGAGGTGTCCTTAGAGGCAATGTAAACACTGTCTTTTCTCTGAAAAGGCAGTGTTTACATGAAAAAAGCCTGAAGGGAGCTATTATACTCACCAGAACAACTGCATTAAGCTGTAGTTGTTCTGGTTACTATTGTGTCCCTTTAACTCTTAACTTAAACTCCCTTTCCTGACGCAAGCTTTTATTCATATTTGTTCTCCCTTGCACAGGATCTCAACACTGCCACTTTGTTTTCCTTTGCCCATGACGGATTCTTTGGACTGAAGTATTGTGGGCAAATTAGCTTGGCAACAAATAGAACTTTGTTTAAAAGGGGCACTGTGGGCACTAACAATTTTAAATCATTGAATTGATTATAGTGTCTGGTGCTCTCTCTCCATTCAGTATCAAACCATTTGCCAGTGGTAAACACCCAGACCACTTCATCTTAATAATGTGGTCTGGGTGCCATGTCTCCCCTCTTTTAGCCCTACAGCTGAAAACATTGGCAGTCACTAGAGGCTATTCCAATAAGTAAATGGAGTAAAATTCTGCTACGTCAATCAGATGGCCACTCTGAGCAACACCGTGTTTTTCCGCGCATGTGCACTAGCCAAACAATGTTTTCCAATAGAATCTCGATTATCTCAGCCAAGGAGGTAGAGGTTCCCCGCTGAGACTGATGCTGTGAGAGAGATATGGCAAGTTAAAAACCTATTTTATTTCCTACAGGTGGGGACCGGGGACATAAACAGCTAACAGGGCACGATAGTGTTCCTATGACATTGAATGAGGGTCCCTGTCATCCCATAGACCCCCCCCCACCCCCCCCACCCCAGCACTGGGAATGTGGCTAAGGCAGAAATTCCAAACTTCCTTCAAACTATAACGACACTATAATGACACTCTCAGACAATTACTGCTACTCATGGCTTTCTCATTAGTCCAGGCACCACATGGAGGGGGGTTTGCTGCTATGAACTCTTATGAAACATTAAAAACAGTTTAATGCTAAATGGAAAGATGGAGCCAAGTGAAGACATGACGCCTACGATGTCCCTTTAATTTTCTCCCAATGCCAAAGGAAACAGTTTACATAAGTAATCCCTACTTTATCTTATGGATAACGTAAAAAAGGAAAAATATATAATAAAATAAAAAATTTATAAAAATGTGGGGTAACCGAGGGGCAAACAAAACCAAAACAAAACTAACCAAAAAGGGACAGTGTAGCTTTAATAAAATTAATTTTTAAGACTCATTGCCCCCCCCCCCGCCCCTTGATTCATGACAGCTTTGCAATGTAAACCAGGATTGCTGCACAGTATGTAACTCCCACTGCTCCCAGTTTTAGAGATCACACATTTTCTGCAAAATGATTTATGCCACTACCTGACACAGGACTAATGAAAATACATAAACAATCAATGGAGAGTAAAATGGTTTTCCCAATGGGAATATCTGTGGGATTCTTACATTGGGGGTTTATTCACTAAACCAGGCGTTATGGGGTAATTGACAGGGATAGCTGATTATAAAGAGTTGGTGAATGTTTCCAGTTCAATTTATTCTGGTCTAACATTTGCTATATCCTGACCAGTGTTTCACTATTCCTGGTTTAGGAAATAGAGCCAAACGTGCCATAGATGGGCAGAGTGTGCACAAGATCTCAGTTGTATTTCTTGTGTCAAACTCACCGTACAAGTCACACACATTCTAAAACGCTGTTCTAACGAGAATTTGGTCTTCTTCAAAAAGTAGATATCCAGATACAGTGGGTAAACACATGCCTCCCGACATTGAGAGGCATGAGAGCCCGAGACGGGGCGTCACCAGTGTTGCAAATCATGACACTGGCATGAAATGGGCATGCTAACCAACTAAAGGTTCCGCAGAGAACACTGCTGAAACACTCTCTGCTGGGTCCTAGTGCCTGTATACAGTGCGAGGCATCTAATGATAGGCTCACGCTGTCGTGCAAAGCGAGAACTAAAACCAGGACAGGACCCCAAAATCGAGACTGTCTCCCCCAACCTGTACGCAAGCCATATATTTTGATAGGAAGTACACACAGGTATTTACTAAAATGAAAACTGCATTATCGCTGGTTACAGCATTTACAATGACATTGCAAACACCAAAAAAGGCAGAGTTATAGGAAAATGTTGAACGTAAAACTTACTTATAAGCAACATTAAGTTCAAAAGAGAACAAGATAAAGGGTCACACCAGTCTAGACAACAAGAATAGGAAAGGATTCTATGTGGCAGGTGGTGGGAAACCCTAGAGACATACTAGGAAGAAGAGAGTGTAGTTCTACCACTTGTGCATATATAATCTCTACCGAGATTACAATTGCTTCAGCACAAAGCAGTTGTAGCTTTACCCAGTAGTAAAATAAATAAATAAAGGGAAGGACAGTAGTGTTGAACATCTTATCAGACTCGTGTAACACGGCCTTTGTAGCAGAATGGAGATGCAGACCCCAGGAGGAGTCTAGAGTCTCCCACATCTCCTCGTTTGCCAAGTTCAGTGCGAGTCTCTGCATATTGCACACATTTCACCAATTACTAATAATAAGGCCACTGCAAACACTGTCAGGAATTTGTAACTTTCAAGTACAGTTTTATTGTCAAAATGTCTCTCTCTGACATTAGGGTACACTGCCCATTTAAATCAGACTGTTTCAGCGATATGAAAGTACATAAATAAAAATACCTACTCCTTTTAGGGGGCTCACTAAACAGTTGATTCCCTACCAATCACTGGTTTTGCTATCCTGGCTTTCAGTGTAAATAAAGAACACATTCACAGTAAACTTAAAGTAACACTATTGGGTCAGGAACAAAAACGTGTATTCCTGGCTCTATAGTGTTAAAAACACCATCTAGCCCCCTTAATCTTACCTTTATTCCAGTCTGCTGCTGCTGCTGACCCTGCCCCTGATCTCTCTGCTTGGCTGACATTATCAGAAGTGGTGATCTGAGCCAATCACAATGTTTTCCCCCAGGAAGCATCTCTAGCAGCCATCTAAGGAGTAGCCACTGCAGGTATCCCTGGGCTGTAATGTAAATACTACATTTTCTCTAAAAGACAGTGTTTATGGCAAAAAGTCTGAAGGGAATCATTATACTCAGCAGAACAAATACAATAAGTTGTAGTTGTTCTGGTGACTATAGTGTCCTTTTAAACCATACCTCCAAAGTGTCCCTATTTAGGATGGACAGTCCCTACTTTGTACCCAAATCCTTTTTTTAGCTCTTTGCTCGGAGCTCCATATTGTTGGTGTGTATAACAGATCTCCACGGCAAAAATACTCCTGGTAATGTATTTTTAAACTACAAGATATGTGTTTAGAAATCGCTCTGTGTATAGAAGATACATTATTCTTGCTCTAAATGCATAAATTATTAGTTAGTCAACTAAAATGTATTTCTCAGAACAACCCCACCTGCATTCCTGAAATTAAAGTTTCCCTCTTTGCCTGTTTTAAATGTTGGGAGGTATGGTCTTAAACAAACAAACAATTGTTTCTCACCAAACTGTTGTCTTTCCAGGCAGTCAGACACTTTACTGCTCTCCATCTACACCCTTCAATCAATAAACGTGCATGCGCTGTGCTAAGGGCACTAAGACTGAAACAGCACTCTCTGTATGGCCCACCCTTGACAGACAGCCAGTATATTAATGGCTGTGTGTTGAGTTATTTTGAGGGGACAGCAAATTTACACTGTTATACAGGCTGTACACTTTACATTGTAGCAGAGTCTCATTTCTTCAGTGTTGTCACATGAAAAGATATAATAAAATATTTACAAAAATGTGAGAGGTGTACTCACTTTTGTGAGATACTGTATATATCAA